TGGACAGCCGCAGGCAGATGCAGTCACTTGAATGGGCATAGCGGTACATAGATCTGTATGGACACACCCGGGATTTCTTTCCGCAGGTACTTGATGCAGGAATCCCCAGCCGCAGCTTTTATCACCGTGTGCATGAGGCTTTAGCCTTAAGTAAAATTCCCGCAGTCCCTCACTGTCTTTTTTAGCATGTCACCAGTCACAACTATAGCATGTACCCAGTCTCTAAATCATTTGTTCTTTAAAGAGAACCTGTCACCTAAAAAAAATGTTTAAAGCTGAAGAAAAAAAAAAAAAAAAAAGAAGGTTAAGATCCCCGGGCCCACATACCTAAATGCATGTTTCGGGTGTGCCTACATACAAAACCCATTCAGTCATACCTTAAATAATCACAGAGCACAATGGAGTAAGAACAATTCGAGCGACATTACTCAGGGTTAACGCTAAACTGATGATCTATGAAGGATTATAAAATGTTGCTTTTGGGTTCTGAAGTTTACGCGCACACAGAATTTTAAGGCTTGACATGCTTGGTATTCATTTAAATGACACAACTGCAACTTTTTTTTTTTAACGAAAGATTTTGGTTTGATAAACAGTTGTAAACGAATGGTGTGAAAAAAAATTGCAACTGCTACCTTTATATTTTCCAGGATCTCTGCTCTCCGAAAAATATATAATGTTTGGGGGCCTTTAACTTCTACAAAAGATGTTGGTCCGTGATGGACGATAATTTCAATACAAATTAGTAAACTTAACATGAGATTTTATTCTATCCCGGGAGCGAGCTTGGAACGATGGCACACTCAGGGACCATGGGGAAGAAAAGTAATCCCCTCCAGAAGGAAGGAGAGTGTCAGCACCAATTCAGAGATGATTTGAGGATCTACAGCCCAGTGATGCACAACTAATATATATTTATGTTCATAGTTAAAGGTACTTGAATGTATTTTTAAGAACTTTCTTCTCTACACTTTGGAGAAGTCTTACTTACTCCATAGATAACTGCACTGTTGCAAAGCAAATATCAAATGATTTTAGTGTTTAAAAATTTTTAAAAAACACATGCATATGCTTATTTCTCTAAACAAGATATTTGCAATTTAGCTGTACAGCCACCTGTGGGATAATTTTCGTTTTTTTTGTTATATACATTCTGTAGCCCCCAGTTAAAACGCCAGTGGTTGTGCATTTCTCATCCTTTTTCTAGTTGTAGTCAAAGAGTACTTAGTATTTCAACAATTTGAGAATAAAAAAATGCAGCAGCCAACAATGTGCCAGACAAGAGTCTTATGTAGTCAAGAACCCCGTAATTGCAAATTCAAAGTAATGCTCCATCAAATTTTACTCATGCCAATGTCCTAATCAAGTTGTATATTTTGACACAAGAAAACTGCTACCCTTGGGTGGTCTGTTACCAAGCATTAACACAAGAGAAATTGTGTATTTAGATTGGACCTTAATAAACACATCTGCAGATGGTTTTGGTACAAACTACATAATGCCAGAGCCAATAAGAGCTGCATGTTAAGATAACCACATCAAAATCAAACAGAACAACTACATGACACCAGAGACATTTTAACACGAGTAGCTGTTCTAAATACTGCATCTAAAAATGAACAATAGACACAGTGAATTCTAAACTATGGCTATAAACTTCACTCAGAGCTACACTACAAAATTAAGCAGACAATAAAAACCTCTGCTAACTCAACACATTAAAAACCCTATATACCTTTGTCCTGCTTCTTAACCACTTCATGCAGGCTCATGTAAATACACGTCACCTGCTTCAAGTGGTTATACCAAGAACACGGCTGCAGTTTTAAACAGCATGCGATTGCTGTTTCTATACAAGTGATCTGGCTTGTAAGGTGCGGCGCTGTGAACCCCCCACCCCCGCCAGCTTCCCCAGTCTCTCCTGATGGATGGGAGGGAGATCAGCAGGCTTCTAGCCACTGATCTCTCTGCCGATCGCTGGACCTGGAAATTATGTGTATTACATCACTTCCAGTGTCACTGGGCACATTCTCCGGCTCCTAGAGCCAGGAGGAGAGGCTGTTGAAGCAGATCTCTGCTTCATCAGCTTCCATCTGGTTCCTAGGTGGCATTAGGGGTCTGAAAGACCGCTGATGTCTCCATAAAGAGGACCTGTCACATCCTGTTTGCTACTACATATGGGGTTTCTTAGCTCCCTATGTGTTAGCAATGACATTGGATGTAAAAAAATAAGTTTGTAAAAATTTAACATAAAAAAAATACAACTTTTTTTTTTTCCTAAAGTCCCTAATACCGTGCCGCATAAAAAATTGCAACCAGCATCTTTTTATTCTACAGGGCCTCTGCTTTCAAAAAATATATAATTGTTGGGGGTTTTAAGCTGTTTTCTAGCCAAAAATTCAGATTTTCTTACATTTGTGCACACATGATAAATTGCTCCGGTCAGCAAGTGGTTAAAGAACATACATTGCCAAAGAGAATAATTAAAATGAGAAGTCTGAAAAAGATTAGCATATAAATCTGAGAGGAATGGCACCACACCCATATTGTAGCATATAAAAAAGGATTGGAATTAAATGGGGCTTTTCAGGTGTCTACTGACATAGCCGAACATAAATTACAGAAAATGTTTGTATAAAAACAAACTTTTATTTTTATCAAAATGTGTTAACAAAAAAAAAAAAAAATCACAGATAAAACCATACCCCCATAAGATTGCATCAAACATGATTGATATAGTAAAGACTTCCAAAAGATTGTATGTACAATCTCCAAATAACACTCCAAAGAAAGGGAACTACATGCAATAACCAATTACAGATAACTTGTCCCACATGACTTTGACATCAATTGCAGCCTCTTAATTGTTGGAGTGGTTCACAACGCGTATCACACCTCAAGCATTTCTTCAGGAAAGTGAATTTGGAGAAAATCATTTAGGAAGCAATCTATTAAATGAATAGATGAAATGTTGGAGTGAAGTGCAACTGGTGAGTATTCTTTGGCGAGCAGCTCGTTGAAGGTACATGGTACCTAATAGATAGGCGTCATTGATTTAGCGGTTTGTTGTCATCTTGAACAGACTACTGCCACTACGTCGGTCATCCCTGCACTGTCCTGCTGCCGACCATGCCAGAGCCGTCCCAAGCCGCATTAGATACCGGAACTTCTGGTCAGATGGCGATTCCCTCTGACCGGCAGGGCCACGAGGAAGCATTGAGCCGGCTTCCAAGCCAATCAGGAAGCCAGCAGGCGGATCATGACGTGCCGCCAGCCTTCCTGCTTGGTTGCAGTGTTGTTAGGCAACATGAAGCCGGCTTCCTGGCCAATCAGGAAGCATAGTAACCTGCCTCCCAGTTTTCGGATTGGCTAGAAAGCTGGCTTCACGCTGCTTAGCTACACTGCAAAGCAGCCTGGCTACCTGATTAGTCAGGAAGCCAGGCTGCCTCTGCAGTGTCGCGAGGGAGAGTAAAGCCGGTGCTCTTTTGATAGAACACCGGCTTCCTGTTGAGCCGTGCCCACGGCTCGGAATGCTGATATCTTTATTCAGTATCAACGAGTACCGAAAAAATATTGGTACTCTTACTCGATACCGTAAAAACAGTACCAGTGCATCCCTAAAAGTAGCCAATACATACGGATTCTCTCCTGGCTGCCCAGCCCTGAGACGAGGGAAAGATCAAAAGGACCCTGAAGCATGATGTGATTGGTCTGAATAGTTTGAAAAAAGGCAAGTATAAAAAACAAAACAAACAAAAAAAAACGTAATAAAACAGCTAACATGAGCCCAGCAGCCAGACTATGGCCAATACAGCCATGGAGAGCCGCAGATACAGCCCTCGGTGAGATGCGATCGCAGCACTGGTACAGCCCTGGAGAGCCCCACATGCCCCCCTGGTGAACGCCTGCAGACAAACCACCGCACTTCCGAGTGACCCTCGCAGGCCTTCTGGAGCCTGCCATACCCTCCTGAGAGCAGGTAAGTAAACTTTTATACTGCAGCTCCCTATTGTTCTTCTCTTATTGGTGTATATCACAGTGCTAATCAAATGCAATAAAGAATGGCACCCGGATATAGAGAACTACAAACCTCAGCAATTCATGATTGCTGGTTGCCAATTTCTATTGCTGGTTAGCATGCTCCATCACTGAATAATCATGGTTTGAATTACACTTCTTTATCATTATAAAAGGAGCTGCCCTAAAATCATTAGTCTGCATTGTTTTAGAAAAAATGTTACACATCTTTAAAAAAAAAAACATCAGTAAGTGGTATCGGCAAGTACTGGAGGGAAAGTACTTGTACTTGGTCTTGAAAAAGGGGTATATAGTTGCATCTCTAATTTTTAAGTACAAGTAGTGCCAGTAGCTGAAAATGATTTAGTATCAGCCTCTTTTGTGATGTCACACTAGAAGCCAATCAAATGCTTTGTAGCACACGTGATGACAAGGAATATGGTAACAGGAGGAGAAGGATCAGAGTGAGCAGAGGAATGAGATCTTCAGTCTGCTGCTTTTTCTTCAGTGTCCAATCACGGGCTGGGGGCAGGGTTCAGGTAGATGGCCTTGCAGTACTGTTTAACTGCAACATAAAAAAAGTCAGGCCATCAGCCTGGGCCTTACTGCCTAGCAGGACTATGTAAACCTCAGGACTGCAAGGACAAAATAACATCCTTTGACAAGTAACAGAATCATATATCCATTTGAACTGTGTAATTAACCATTTACCTGGAGTACAGCTTTAACAAAATATACTGCAAGACACGACTTTTGGGTGTTAAAAAAAAAAAAAAAGATTCAATCTTACGGCAAAATACAGATGCATGAGTGAACTAAAACAAGGTCACCATGTTGGAACAGGAATAGAAGCCATTGTTAAATAATCAAAAAACTAGTATAAAAAAAGGACTCATCCACAATAAGTCCATAGCTTACATTATATTGTACTGTTCTATTCAAAACAAAGTAGTTGGAATATCAATTACACAACACAGACTCACCCTTGAAGATTCGTAAGATGGGCTCATCTGACTGCTGGTTCCCCATGATGAAGTACCAGATCTTTCATCTATACCTGTAAATTATTTAAAAAAAAAAAGAATTTCAAGTATTGTGTAGGCAGTTAAAAAAAAGCCCTGTAAAACTAAAATATGCATTAAGTACAAAAGCATTATTGTAGCAAATTACTGACGTTTGATAAAACAAGGGACAGCTTGACCAAGTCTCAATATACGGTCCATTCAAGTCTGTGCACACAGTACTGAACAGATTTTCACCGGACAGAATGTAAACAATGCTGGAGGCCACGGAGGAAGGGGGGGTGCAGTGGGTTTCAAAAATGTAAGCTGGACGCCGATTGGTTGCTATGCTCAGCTGCTTCAGATTTTGTCAGCTCCCGTCTCGGTTAATTCCCCTAACTGTCCTTTCAGCGCGTGCAATGGGGTAAAGCAACAAGTATTTTCATATAGAATTTTTGTATTTTGACCAGAACCCTAGAAATACTGTACTGTTGCCATAGAACAATGACACACCAATCTCTAATCACCACCTTTGCAGACAAATAGACTTTAGAAAATTGGATTCAACAAGAATTTTGTACTTAAAGTTTATATTACCAAAAAAATACAAAACAGATTTAAGTGTCTGAATTTCCATGCTGTTTTTATTAAATTCAGCATTTTTTTTACATTTATACCTGGGGATACTGACAGTTCACTCAGTTCTTGTTCCGTTGTGGTCAGTTTGCGTGTCTGTTCCTCCTTGGGGATACACAGTGCGCCTGTATCTCCTTGGAGTCCATTTTTTGGACACGCCACCTGCCCAGTCTACCAGTGTATTTGACAGTGGCTCCCTAGACAGCAGCACGCACATACTTCAGGGGTGAGGAATTCCTATTGTCCGCACCCGGGATGTGCAGTTCTGGGCGCTGGGCAGGTGTTTTTTTCTACATTTAGCCCTGTTGCAGGCAAGATCACAAAAATTTGGCAGGAAAACTCTGGAATAATAGCAAGTTGATTTGGTCTGTAAGTTGGTGAAGTACAGGTTTTTGCAGGAAGTTGTAAAAGGAGGCAAGTATTTTGTCAAAGTCACTCAAAAATGTCCTGTCTTGGCGTTTAATGCAGTGGATGGCTGTCTGTGCCCACAAATCTGCCACTAATTTTGCCAGCAGCTTCCCATTTTTATTTATTTTCAAAAAGTGATTTTGCCCATTTACCTGGCAGTGGGTGGGTTCTGTCAGATACAGTTGTAAATTACGATAAATTGTCAAATTGAGTAGAAGTGGAATCAATAAATTCTTGTGAAAATTTGGTATCAAAGGTTTGGTTGCAGTGTTGTACTTAGAGCTGGCTGCCTAAAGGGCAGGAATATATCCCCCTTCAAGGTGACTTTAAAAAGGCATCCCAGACCCGATTAGAGTTTGCATTACTATGCATTATCAATCAGCACTTAAGACATGATAATTAAAAGAGCATTACCTATCGGAAACCTGAAAATATCTAATTGGCCTAGTTAAAATGAAGATCCACTCTGATGGTAAAATATTTCACTATTTGGAGGCAAGTTAAAGAAGAACTTCACTATAATCTTAAAAATGACAACCAAATGCACCTTTAGAAATGTTTGGTAATCTACAAATCTTTTGAATACTAATAGAGGAATCACACTCACACAATGATTTGATCCCTTTCCGATTTTGTAAGTTTGCCCACTTACAAAGAAATGATAGGTCTATAACTTTTATCATAGGTGTATTTTAAATGATAGAGACAGAATATCAACCAAAAATCCAGGAAAAAAAAACACGATACAAATGTTATAAATTGAGTTGCAGTTCAGTGAGTAAAATAAGTATTTGATCCCCTACCAACAACAATATATCTGGTTCCCACAGACTGGCTATGTGGTACACAGATGAGTCCTGTCAATGTAAGAAGTTGATCCTAACGGCAACTCGTTATGTATATAAAAAGACACCTGTCCACAGAATCTCTTTCTTCCATTTCAACCTCACCACCACGGGCAAGACCAAAGAGCTGTCAAAGGACGTTAGGGACAAGATTGTTGACCTGCACAAGGCTGGAATGGGCTACAAGACTTATCAGCAAGAAGCTTGGTGAGAAGGAAACAACTGTTGGAGCGATTATTCGCAAATGGAAGGAATACAAAATAACATACATACACAGTACAAAAGTTTTAGGCAGATGTGAAAAATGCTGTAAAGTAAGAATGCTTTCGAAAATATTTTTTTGTTTATTTTTATCGAGTTACAAAATGCAAAATTAGTTAACAGAAGAAAAATTGAAATCAATATTTGGTGAGGTTACCCTTTGGCTTCAAACAAGGATTTTGTATGATTAGAGTGAGGTATATGATTAACAAATTATACCAAGCTGGTGCAAATTATCAATTTCATAGGTAGGTTGAAACACAGTTACCGTGTTTCCCCGATAATAAGACACTGTCTTATATTTTTTTGGGCTCAAAGAAACACACTAGGTCTTATTTTCGGGGTAGGTCTTATTTTTATTTTTTAATGTACAACAATCCACACTTATTCATCTACAAAAATATGGTGATGAGGGCAATCAGGGGTGCCGTACCTTTCCAAGAGCAATTAGCTAACCAATCGCTGGCCAGAATGAGCGAAGCGCACTTTAACTATCGATTCCTCACAGGCGGAGTGCATTTGGTATCACTCCGCCTGTGACATGAGTCGGCGCTATAGAGGTGGCATCGGCTTATGCGGCTCTGCTCCCTCCGGTGCCGCCTCGCTTTGTTGGCACCGCTGATTCTCTCCTGCCTCTCCCGCGGCTCTTCAAGTTCGCCCTTATGCCACCACCGGCCCTGGGAATGGTCACAACTAGGTCTTATTTTCGGGGTAGGTCTTATATTTGAGCAATTCCCAAAAATTGTACTAGGTCTTATTTTCAGGGTAGGTCTTATTTTCGGGGAAACAGGGTATTAACTGAAACTGCTGAGTAGAAGGCTTAAAACTGGGTTAGGAACGGCCAAACTCTGCTACTTAGGTGAGGTTGTGGAAGAAAGTTTCATGTCACACACCATGCCAAGACTGAGCAAAGCAACAAGACACAAGGTAGTTATAGTGCATCAGCAAGGTCTCTCCCAGGCAAAGATTTCAAAGTAGTCTGGGGTTTCAACATGTGCTGCTGAAGCTCTTTTGAAGAAGCAAAAAGAATCGGGCAACATTGAGGACAGTAGACATGGTGGTCAGCCAAGGAAACTACCCCTGAACACAGGTTCAAAAAAATTTTTAGTTCCTGGGGACCGGAGCAATTTTGCCATTTTTTTTACCCATAATTTCCATCTTCCCCATTCATTGCACCTACACATATTATATACCATGTTTGGTCAAAGTTTGGTTCCAAAAGTCAGACACAGCGGAAAACAGTGATGCAAGGTTGGGCGTGCCGCTCCACATTTTGGGCATACCGAAAGCGTATGATGGGGGGTTATTGATGACTGTGCGGGCATGAAAAAGGGTACATAGGCCCTGTGTAGAATCTTGAACTGGGTCTCCCTCCAAATTTCTTTGTCACTAGTGATCTTACTTTTGCATATCCCGTTAGAAGTTTAGGGAAGAGATCCGGGTCACCGAAATCTTTTTGCCATCCTCTCATAGCTGACTGCGAGAGGGGTGATAGGAATAAAGCACATGGCTTTCGTCAGACAGGCGATATCCGTTGTTCTCAGCAACAGGGGGATAGTTTGCAATGGATATAGCAGTTTGGCAAAGCTGACCATTTTGATAAGATGAATTCTCCCGAAGAGTGATAGGGGAAGGTTTCTCCATAGATCTAGTTCTTCGCATATTTTTTGAATTAGAGGGGGATAGTTGAGGTGATAGAGGGAGGAAGGTGTCTTGCCCACTTTCACTCCCAGGTAGGTTATGTACCGCTGTGCCACCCGCATGCCTCCACACCCGTTCCCCATCTCTGTGCCTGACAGGTGTAGAATTTCACTCTTTTGAAAATGTATACGGAGACCGGAGAAAGTTTTAAAATGCGTTAACATGTCCTGAATGACTACTGCATCTTCGGTGGGGCGGGAGGTAAATATAAGGACATCGTCCGCAAATAACGCTAATCGGAGATCCGCTTCCCCTACCCAAAATGGGCTTTAATTTGACATTACATATGCATATAAAAATTCTTATAAATGCAAAAAAAAAATGTACCAGTGCTCATTTTCCCACATGGCGGAAATATGAGAGGGGTTAATGCAGCAGATAAGACACATCATGCTTACTTCCCTTCAAAATTGGAAGATGTCCAGCACTGTCATCAGCATAGAACTGGCGGAAACCAGCGGGACCCAGGTACACCCATCTACTGTTTGAAGAAGTCTGGCCAGAAGTGTTCTTCATGGAAGAACTGCAGCCAAAAAGCCATACCTCCGACGTGGAAACAAGGCTATGCGACCCAACTATGCACAAAAACATAAGAACTGGGATGCAGAAAATTGGTAGCAGGTAGCATTGGTCCGATGAGTCAACATTTTAAATATTTGGCTGTAGCAGGGCTGTAGAGCGGTACAAAAATGAGTGTCTGCAGGCAACAGTGAAGCATGGTGGAGGTTCCTTCCAAGTCTGGGGCTGCATTTGTGCCAATGTAGTTGGAGATTGGGTCAGGATCAATGCTGAAAAATACCAGCAGATACTTATCCATCATGCCATACCATCAGGGAGGCGTGTGATTGGCCCCAAAGTTACAACAGCTATCCCATTGCAGAAGGGTGTTGGAATGACGTGCGGTTGGCGCCGCACAAATTCAAAACGAAGAGGAGATAGTCACCCGCACACAAGGTCCAATAAATCAATAGGTCCTTTTATTAACAGCAAATACACGTGGCATCACAGGTATGGGCAACTTTTCAGAACCTTTCGAGCTCCCGTCATCAGGCAAAAACAGTGGCCCCAAATGTATTCTGCAGCAGGACAATGACCCAAAACATACAGCCAATGTCATCAAGAACGATCTTAAGCTTAACCACTTGCTGACCGGGGTGTTTATACCCCCTTCCTGTCCAGGTCATTTTTCAGTGTTCAGCGCTGCA